ACTTCATCAGGAATTACAGATTCAGACAAGTACCAGCACAACAGAAATACTCAGGACCAGTGCTGCCAAGGACTGGGACGGCCGAGCTCTTCCTCCGGGGAAGCGGGCAGCACTGCTCTGCAAGGCTGGTGTAGCCTCTTATAGTACTTGTATGCTGGCCACGCGATGCATGATTGAGCTCCCTGGCAGCCAGAGAAATGAAAAACTCATACCCAGGGAAAACTGCTGCAGGCACTGCTTCAGGTTTAATTGAGTCCTGAACTCAGAAGCAGTACAGATGCCCTCAAGGACAAGCTGTGGTGCAGCCTGGGGGAAGAGCTCAACAATCAAGTCATGAGCCCACACAGAGGAATAAATGCCTGTCACCACATGAGGGAAGACACACTCATCAAGGCTGGAAAAGTAAACCCATGGAGACGGTAAGCAGGCCAGTGGATGGCGAGGGACTAGAGAGGAAGGGAAGGACAGCACACATAGGGTTCCTTTTGGGTAGCAAAGCCATTCTTGGCCACAATAATGGTGGACACAGGCCACTGCACACTAGCATGGGTGACCAGCAAGCAGCTGTTCTCATTTGCGAGGCCTGCATGAAAATAGCAGAAAGCTTTCCAAACTGTCTCACACCCAGTGCTTCCGCTGGGTTAGTCCTCAATGCATCTAAAACATGTCCTGGTGTGTATGTTTCAGTGCATAACCAAAACCTGTTAGTTAGCTGCTGGTGCAGGTGGTTAGGGCTATGTCCCTGTGTACAAGAAAGTCAGCTCCAGGCAGGGATGGAGTGTAAGCCTCTTGATCCCAGAGCTGCCTTTCTGCATGACGCTTGCGGTGGGGAGAATGACTAACAGCTGCAAAGATAGCCATGTACACAGCAGTGCGTGATACGGTCATCCAACAACACCCGCTGGTAAAACAGATGGCAAAATGCACAAGAGTAGCCCCCGCGCCCTGTCTGTGAAGACCGGGAGCAGTGCCTCCTGAGCAGAAGGCTCTTCTGCTGAGCTCCCGTGTCCCGATGCCTGGAGACGGCACTTCCTCTTTCCAGGGCTAACCCTGAGACAATCTGGGAGATCAACACCTTGAGCTCATAGCATGTCACATTCACAATGAGACCAAGAGCCAAAGCATAAGTTTATTGACATCCACTTAAATAGTATTTTATGCGTACACACCGGTATAGAGTCCTCAACATTCAATCTACTCTTCTCAGAATTACTTCATGAGAAAATGGGTTTCTTTGCCCTCCCCCATGGAAGACACTTATGTTACTTATGCTCTTGAAAATAATGCATTTGATTACACAATCTTCATAAAAACAATCCTTAAATCCTCTGCAGACAGTGAAGACAAAGTAGCATAGAACCCTCTCCAATACGTAGCGCAGAGGTGTAGTGCAAGAGATACAGGAAATGGCGGCTCCTCAGAGGCTGACACACCTAGAGGAGGGTACCACAGAGCTGAGAGCCCAACTTGGCAGCCCTAGCTTCGGAGTGTGGCCAGCCGGGACTGCATGGCCTCCAGGTCTTCTTCATCATCCTCCTCCTCTCCTTCTTCTGAGGCAGCCATTGCTCCTGCAGGTTCAGGCTCAGGAAGGGCATCGGTTACTTTACTGGGTGCTTTGCCCAAGGCTCCTGAAGGGAGAGTGAACAGCTTAAAACCCGCTGCAGAAGGAACAAGGCCCTTGGTTTCCCAGCCTCTTTTCACTTTTCCACACGGCAGTGGAGCTGCTGTCTAGAGTGGAGATCTGTTTACAATGCACACCTTGGCAGAGAGAACAGCTCGGGTGGGCAGGCAGACCTGCCATGTTACCCTCAAGTGATCCTCCTGCCTCAGTCTTCCAAGTAGCTACTACTACAGGAGTAATATCACGTCCACGCCCCAAACCATAAGAATTTTAATTTCTGGAATAATGGGCATGGTGGTGTATGCTTGAGTCCATATAGTTGGGAGCATAGGGGTCATTCTAGCTCAGGATTTGGGGACCATCTTGGACAAAATAGACCTCATCTCAAAACAGCAAGTATTTTAAAAGTCATAATTCTAAAGTTCCTAACTTAAAATTTATAAATACTACTGAAAATATAATTTTTATTTTCTCTGAATAAAAGTTAAATGTTGAAGCTAAACTGGGTGATAGAGGCCTATAATCTCAGCTAACTGGGAAGCCGAAACAGGGCAGAAATCAAGGTTTACCCAGGCTACAGAGTGAGTTCAAGGACAGCACGAGCAACTTCATGAGGCCCTATCTCAAACTAAAGGCTGGGACTGTAGCTCAGCAGTAGAAGGCTTTGATGTGTGAGGCCCCAGACTCGATGCCCAGTGCCACAGAAAAGAGCAGACAAGCACACTGTCAGCCAGCTATTGGGGGCACGCCTGTAATCTAGTCCCAGCTGGCTGTGGGGCTGCACACAGCCAGTGTGCGGTCCAGTTACACTGCCTCCACGTGAGACAAGGACAGCATTTAAGACCACTGTGGACTACCAACCAGAGCTAGCTACATCACACACCAAAACAGATCTAATAAACAGAGAAACCCAACTACTTCCAATTTTCACAAAATATTTTCTCAAACACCTTCTTTCTACCAAGATTTAAAACAACTAAAACTTAAATTCCACCATTTTATTAAGCATAAAACTCAAAAACCCAAAATTAAAAATAAAAGCTATAAAGCGCCCAGAAATAACCATTTTTATTAATTCCCATGTTTAACACAGACATGTTTTATACTAAAGTCAGGTCTGTATTGATTCATACTCCTAACAGCTGTTTTCATTGTGAAAATTAGAAACTAAAAATCCTTTGTATTTTGAAAACTGGACATTTAGCACTTATTCCTCAAGAAATACTTGCATACTCCAAATGCAGACATAGCTAACGCTGACTGGCGGTGGGAGGGGAGGAGCTGGAGGGCTCTCTTGGTCATACCTGCTGTGATTTCAAAGAGGATTCTGTCAATCTCCATTTCTGCTGCTTCTTCCATTTCTTCCTGATCATCCATGCTTTCAAATGTATCCTCCAGCATCTCCTCTATGATTCCAGCCTGAGTAGAGAACAAAATGCCACCTCCTTCAACATTACATCTACTCCCAGTAACACCCCCAGACAGCACCCAAAGAACGTTCTAGTCTCCTTGAGTCTAGTCCTTTTCCCAGTGATAACAAAAGAAATGCTGGACGATGGCCTCTCTGCAGACAAGACACAAAAGGAAATAGCACTGTAAGTTTGCGGAGGGTTTGAGGTGCAGCTGCTGGAGCAGTTCCGCATCACCCTGACTACAAGAGCAGTCAGAAGGAACACGTGCTGAGAAGGACAGCAAAGACCCTGGAACTGCTTGGAAAGCAGCTGCCCTAACCCTGCAAGCAGGACCTGAGAGGGCAAGGGTTGAAATACAGGATGAAAACCGGCTAGAGGCACAGGAGACACCAGCATGACAAAGGCATGAGCAGGGAGGGACTCCAGAAAATGCTCAAAACCACCCAGCATGTCAGGTCACAGCTGCTGGAATAAGGTTAATCTGGGGTGTACTGGGAAGAAATCAATCGCCAAGCCCTGACTGCCTCCTTGTAAGAGAAGTCAAGGGTTTCTCACCCACAAAACAAGGCCAGGCACTTTACTGGAAGCCTGTGCCTGGCAGCCTGGAGCTGGCGTGATGGCTCAGTTGTAAAACACCCCCAAACCCACCTAGAAACAGGCACTGACAACCCACACCTGTACCCCACACCGTGGGGAGGGAGGGGCTTTAACAGCGGTCAGGTGGCCTCTGAAACTAACTGGCCAGCCAACTTAGCCAGATTGCCGAGCTTCAAGTTCAGGCAGATTCTGTTTCAAAAGAGGAAGTGCAGAGTGGTAGAGGAGGACACCTGATGTCAGCTTCTGCTTCCACATGCACACATCCACACACATGGACACAGCATTAATGCAACAGTGCTCACACACACAGAATTTTTTAAAGGGAGTGCTCTATCTGCATGTACACCTGCACGCCAGAAGAGGGCATCAGATCCCAGGATAGATGGTTGTGAGCCACCATGTGGTTGCTGGAAGTTGAACTCAGGACCCCTCGAAGAGCAGACATACTTTTATCTGTTGCGCTCTCTCTCCAGCCCCACACACAAAATTTTTAAAAAGAAGAAAATAGCAAGGGACCATTATGAGGCACAAACAAATGGCTCTCCAAAGCCCTGCAACTGTCTTGCTTAACAGTGTCCCCACCTCCATATAAGGCCATTCAGAGATCAAGGTAGGACAGAATGCCAATTCCATGTACAACACCTCCTCTCATCAGCTGGCCCTGTCTGGAGGCCAGATCTACAGTTTCTGCCATACCACATCCGAGGGTGGCAGGGACCTATACTTTCCATTTGGTTCTCAGTCTCTCCTTTTTGTAGTTAAAAAAGCCATCAGCAACTACAGCCTGCAGGCCAGATCTGGGGGTTCCCAAACAAAGGATCTGGGCCTTAGTTATTTGTTTCAGTGCCATCTGAGGCTGTGTTTACATGGACAGGCAGTGCTGAGTGGGTACAACGGACATCAGAGCATAACACAATTTATTAATCTAGCACTGCAGAAAACAGAATCACCTTTCTTGCCAGCTTCACCAGTACCCTCACTGCAGACAGTGAAATTAATGTTTCTTTGTCTCTTCCCTCCTGTTAGAACCCACAGACCCTATCACTAGATGTTCTCCATCTGAAGATCTGGGCATGCTTGGGCTTCTTCTCAGCACTTACAATTCCACCCAGCCTCTGCTATACTTTACACACACACACACACACACACACACACACACACACACACACACACACACACAGAAAAAAACTTTGGTTTCACCCCCCCAACTCAGAGGACCTCAGTGGTCTAGAGAGAAAGCAGAACTAGCCCAGTCACCTTCATCATCTCTTTGGACAGCTCCCTCATGGTGGCCTGGATTTCTGGGATCTTCACAAGACTCTGCATGGCCTTCATCACTTCTGTGCTCTTCTGCAGGGAGCCAGCTACTCTTAGGACCGCTGAAAAGGAAAGGCTGCAATCACCCAGGATTGTCCAAAACACAGAATGAAGAATGAGAGCGCTCTAGCAGGTAGGTGGACTGTCAAACTTACCTTATGATATGTTACTTTATGCTATATTACTGTGCTATATGTCTGAGAGATCTTTTTTGAAACTGAGTCCTACTTAGTGGTGTTGGACAGTTTTTATCTCATCTTGACACAATCTGAGATGAGGGAATCTCAATTAAGAAAATGTCTCCGTAAGATTAGGTTATCTCAGAGAGGCAGAGGCAGGCAAATCGCTTTGAGTTCAAGGCCAGCCTGGTCTACAAAGCAAGTCCAGGACAGCCAAGGCTACACAGAGAAACCCTGTCTTGGAAAACAAAAACAACAACATCAAAAAGATTGGACATTTTTTAAAATTAGTGATTGATGGGGGAGGGCCCAGCCCATTGTGGGTGGTACCATTCCTGGGCTGGTGGTCCAGGGTTCTATAAGAAGGCAGGCTGAGGATGCCATGAGATCAAGCCAGATAGCAGCACCCCTCCATAGCTTCTCCATCAGCTGCTGCCTCCAGGTTCCTGCCCTGTCCTGACTTCCCTGAATGGTAAATTGTGCTGTGAAAGCATAAACCAAATAAATCCATTCCTCCCTAACTTGCTTTTGGCTTCAGTGTTTCATCACAACAATAGAAACCCAAACTAAGACAATATATATAATGGTGTGAACTCTCTGAGTATTCACACTTAGAATTGGCCACTGTGCATAGTGACCGGAAGGTCTACAGCTGACCAATAGGGAGGGAGACTGACACCTGGGAACAAGTCACAAATGAATGGGAGGGTTCTAGACTAAGGTTAGGACCACGGCGGAAAAGAGAAGGCTTCCGGCTACACAGCAGCATCTCTCAGCCACTAGATGATGGACAGTGTCTGTTCTGTTAACAGCGTGATGCTGCTAGTCCTCAGAAAAGTGACATCAACAGAGGTAAAATAAAGTTATGCTACAGCTCCTTGCTAGGGAAGAGCCTTCTGTGATCTAACACTGTACACATTTTCTTTCCAAGAAACTATTATAGAAGCATATGACCATTTCCCCTCCGGGTTCACTGCTAAGACGTCAAGAAACGAGTGAGCAACCCTCCCAGTGTGTTATGGAATTTGAAGTTCCTAGGATCACTCACTTAGTAGAAAGCAAGCTGTTCACTGACAGTGACATACTTTTCCTGTACCAGTATCAGTACCTGGTTAAGCCAGGAGGCACTGAAAATTTAAGTCTGGCAGAATCTAGGCCCTAGGAAGCTTTCCTATCTAACAGGAAACATGAGTGAAGAGGGAAATGCCTGGGGCACAGACACTGAGCACCACATGGTCATCCTAGGTTAGGAGGTGTGCTGGTGGCAAAGTCCTTCCTGTCTCTGCCCAGTGGATAGGAAAGAAGGGGAAGTCATTACCAATGAGATCATTAACGGTGATCAAGTGCACTGTATCCTTGGGATGCAAAAATAATTCAATATATACAAAATAATATCACTCCATATTAGTAAAACAAAGGGTAAAAATGGACTTATTTCAACCGATGGAGAAGAATACACCCTTTCATGGTAAAAAACAAAGCAAACAAAAACCATGTAAGAGAGTAGGTAGAGGGGACACATCTCTAATAAAAGACATGTATGGCAAACCTGCAGGAAGAGGAGAGGGCATGGCGGGTCAGGGACCTCAGCACTTCTCCCCCCACCCCTTTAAAGAAGACGTCGACACTAGAGCTTCATGATGCCAGGCAAGGGTTCTACCCCTGAGCTATAATTCCAATAACAGATACTTCTTTTGGAGAAGTTTTGGTTTTGGTTTGTTTTTATTAATAGACAGGGTCTTACTAAATAGCTTAGACTGGCCCAGACCTCACTTTCAACTCATGACAATCCTTCTGTCTTAGTCTCCCAATTACTAGGGTTACAAACAAGCCTGAGCCCCAAGCCCAACTACAACTTTTCAGCATAGTACTGGAAATCCTTGCCATCACAACTACTTGGGAAAAAGAAAATGCATCCCAATAGGAAAGAAAGAAGTGAAATTTCTGTACGTTGACGTCACGATCTTATACTGAGAAATTCTTTAAAAAAAAAAAATTTAAAGAATTAATGAATTCAGTAAGCATGTTGGATAAACAAAAACCAACATATAGAAATCGGGAGCAGTTCTTTCTCTTTGCTTCCTGGCTTCCAGCCATGTTTTACCTCACCTAAAGCTCATAGCAACAGGGCCAAGTAAGCAAGGATGAAAGCCTCCCGAAGTGAGTCAAAATAAACATCCTAGTAAAACAGTGTTGTTTCTACAAACAAATAAGGAACCACCCAGAAAGGAAATAAGGAAAACAATCTCATTCACAATGGGAACATGAAATTTTAAATACTTAGGTACTTTGTCATAAGAAGGTAAATTAGTACAACTACTATGGAAAATATTATGAAGACCACTCCTGTTGGCACATAACTATTATTCCAGCAATTGGGAGGCAGAAACAAGAGGACAACCCTATAATTGAGGGTAGCCTGAACTAGCCTAGGCCACTTACGTTATGTTAGAGCCAGGCTACAAAGCACAACTGTCCCTGTTAGGGCTACTATTGCTGTAATGAGAGACCACGACCAAAAGGGACTTGCTGAGGGAAGGGCTTATTCATTTGGCTTATTTATCCTTCGGCATAGTTCACTGAGGGAAGCCAATGCAAAAACTCAAGCAGGGCAGGAACCTGGAGGCATTGGCGGAGAAGCCATGGAGGGGTGCTGCTTACTGGCTTGATCCTCATGGCATCCTCAGCCTGCCTTCTTATAGAACCTCGGACATCAGCCCAGGAATGGTACCACCCACAACGGGCTGCCCCCGCCTCCATCAATCACTAATTAAGAAAATTCCTTATATGCTTGCCTATAGCCCAGTCTTTCAGGTTTTTTTTTTTTTTTTTTTTTTCCCTGAGACAGGGTTTCTCTGTGTAGCCTTGGCTGTCCTGCACTTGCTTTGTAGACCAGGCTAGCCTCAAACTCACAGAGATACACCTGCCTCTGTCTCTCTGAGTGCTGGGATCACAGGTGTGTGCCACCATACCTGGCTACAGTCTAGTCTTATGCAGGCATTTTCCTAATTGAGGTTCCTTCCTCTCAGATGAAATTAGTTTCAGCAAAGTTTGCCACGAGCTGTACAGGATTGGCAAAAGCAAGCAGCTAAGCTTCCTGGAGGCAGCCCACCATTTTTGGCATGGTCTGCAATGGGTGTATTCTGAGTAAACCAAGGCCCTCAGAAACTTTGCCTCAGAATAGTTTCCCGCTGCTGCTATGCCCCTTTCTGTGCTGCTATTACTGTAGCTCTCAAAAAATCTGACACAGTGTGAGAAGGCCCTCACTGCCTGTGACATGATGTGATCACAGATACTACCTACTCTGGTTGAGCAGACCTCCTGCAGAATCAACATAAGGATATGCCTTCTTAAATAATATTGTCTAGATGAATTAATGATTCCATAATTCCTGAGAATGATTTTATTGGATTTCTGATTTGAGTAATTCAAAGCCCCCACCCCCACCCCACTCTTTGCAGCGCAAGGAAGCAGTAAAAGCCTGTGAACCTCCAGATATCAAGCACACAAATCCCATTAGAGAGAGGGACAGGCCCTGGGTTAAGTCCAGAGATGGCACCAGGAGTCCTGGTTATGCACGATAGATAGATAGATAGATAGATAGATAGATAGATAGATAGATAGATAGATAGATATGTAGCTAGATATGTAGCTAGATATACATATATAGACATATTTTTCTATATATACATATATAGATATATATCTGTCTATGTATATAAACATATTTGTACATATCTGTATCTGTGTGTGTGTATATATATATATATATATTTGTCTAATTAAACAACCTACGTATGTAGGCTGGAGCCCACTGAGATCCACTCCATCCAGATATGTAAATATGTATATATCTGTATGTCTAATTATCTCTAGATATTATCTATATGTGTGTATATATATATATATGTACACACACACACACACACACACACACACACACTGCATGCAGTACATATACTGCATGAATGTGTATGTGTGATGGGGGACCCCTTATCTGTTGAATGAATGTGTATGTGTGAATGAATGAGAACTTTCTTTTTCCTTTCTCTTTCCCATTGGCTCACAGAGGATTAATAAGTTCTGAGCCCAAGCCCTGAGCCAGCTGGCTGACACTTCTTTGGGATCTCTGTGAGTTTGAGGCCAACCTAGTCTACAAAGTGAGTCCAGGACAGCCAAGGTTACACCGAGAGAAAGCCTGTCTCGAAAAACAAAAACAGCAACAAAAAGTCAAGAACTTTTCCATTTGCCTAAGCCCCTTCTACAGTCTGCTGTCACTCAGTGAGGTGGGGGTGGGGAAACACTAGCTAGAGAAAACAGCCTTCGCTGCAGGGGAGCAAGAAAACCTAAATAGCTTAGTCTGAGGTCTGAGTCCCTGTTTCTTCTCTTTTTGATCTCCTAGTGGATCCACTAGTGGAAGCTCCAGAGAGTCGTTTCAGAGTTTCTTGCCAGTTGCAGAGTACTGGCCCCTAAAGAGTTAAACTGTCTGCTTGCTACTGTTCTCATCATACACAAAGCCCACCTGCCTCAGTTTCTCCCCTGGACCCATAAAAGCTGGACTTTGACCCAAGTTGACATAAAACTAGCTAGCACAAAGACAAAGTCTCACACAACAACAAAAACACAATAAAATGGTATGAAAGTTCTTAAAAAAAAAAAACAAAAAACAAAAAACAAAACTAAGAGCATGTGACCTAGTAACCCTACTCCCAGGTATATATTAAAATAAGTGAAATGAGAATGTCAAAGGATACCTGAATTCCCAAGTTCACTGCTGCCTTACAATAATCAAGACATGGGCACAAATTTACATGCTCATCAACAAACAAATAAAAAAACTATAAACTTGTTTGGTTTGAATCTCAAGTGTCATTCTCTCCACCTTGACCCCCACCCCCAGCATCCATCTGCTCTCGCTGAGTTTTAAATTGGATGCCTAGGACTGGCACTATCT